ACAATTCCAGACGGCACCCCAGCACGTGAGACAACAATAATCCACAAGCCGACACGTGCTTTGCTTCTGCGTAATGTACACTCCCGCCTCTTCTCCCACTAGATTTATCTATTTTTTGGTCCACACTCATTGGACTCGAGTGGCTGAAAATTCGCCACGTCATCACCAACCCTTCCACGTCAAAATTTCTTCCTCCTCAGAATTTCCAAATATCTCCTCAACGCCCCACAAAAAATCCATTTTCTTTCCATTTTTACCCCCCTTCTCTTCCCCTGATTCCTCTTCAATTTTTCGCTCCATTTTCAAGTACCTTACCCTCCAATGGCTCAGCTGCTCTCTCCTGTTTGCACAGACGCCATCAAACTCCAACCTCCGAATCTTCTAAGCCCATGGCGCTCCTTTGCTAAGCCTAGCGGTTCTTGCGGCGCGATTGCCCGCGGCGCTGGGAGACGGAATTGTGGCAGTTTGAAGGTCACAGCAAGGGATTCGGCATCAACAGAGGCCGTTGCCGATGATTATTATGCTGTTTTGGGACTGGTAAGCCGTTCGATTTCGATCTGGATTGCGTTCAGGTGTTGAAGTCTTAAATTATGGTTCTATTTGTCGTTTATAGCTACCAGATGCGAGCCCGGAACAGATTAAGAAGGCGTATTATAATTGCATGAAAGAGTGCCATCCAGACTTGAGTGGCGATGATCCAGACACCACCAATTTCTGCATGTTCATCAATGAAGTCTATGAGGTAGGGCTTCTCGAATCGAGCTATGAAGAATTCAGATGATTATTGTTTCCCGACATTTGTCTTATATAAAATGCTTCATTGCAGGTTCTTAGTGATCCAGTTCAGCGGATGGTTTATGATGAAATTCATGGATATGCTTTGACTGCAATCAACCCTTTTTTCGATGATTCAAGCACAAAGGATCTTGCGTTTGTTGATGAATTCAGCTGTATAGGTATGCGAGAGTTTTGTATGCTTGATGAGTTGAGGATTGATGGGAGAGGAGTCCACGTGGGATATTAAGGGAAAGATCATGTGTTTATAGGTAGTCAAGGAATACTATCTCCATTGGTATGAGGCATTTTGGAGAAACCAAAAGTAAAACCCCGAGAGTTTATGCTCGAAGTGGACAATATCATGTCATTGTGTAGGTCCGTGATTCCTGACATGGTAACAAAGTCATGTCAATAGAATGCTCGAAGTGGACAACATCATATTATTGTGGAGGTTCATGATTCCAACATGGTATCGGAGTCATGTCCTTAATTTAGCTAGGTCAATAGAATCTTCAAGTGTCGAACAAAGAAGTTGTGAGCCTCAAACAAGTCAAAAGTGACTCGAGCGTCGAACAAAGTATGTACTTTGTTTGAGGGCTCCAGAGGAGGAGTCTAGCCTCGATTAAGGGAGAGGCTATTCGAGGGCTCCATAAGCCTAAAGGGAGGCTTTATGGTATATTTAGTTCGAGGGGAGGATTGTTGGAAGAGGAGTCTCACATTGGCTAATGAAAAGAAAGATCTTGGGTTAGTAAGTAAGGAATACTATCTTCATTGGTTTGAGACTTTTGGTCGTTGCTCTTAATTCATAAGGGTTTATACTTCAAAAGCACTTAATTAGAGCTTCTTCCCATTAGTGAAAAGTGCTTTCATTCCACTTTTTTTCAAAATTTATTCAAAACTAACGGTTATGTGTCTTGAAGATGCAATGATTTATCCGTTGCCATTTGTTTTTGCTTAACTTACTTCCAGGCTGCAAAAGTTGTGCCAATGTGGCCCCGGACGTCTTTGGGATTGAAGAAGATTTTGGACGAGCTCGTGTGTACAGCCAATGTGGGAATCGACAACGAGTTCAAGAAGCAATTGAAAGTTGGTAAGTTCACTTAATGATGATTGAATCTGAACTAAATGTTTTCATTCACCAAATCTTGCTGTTCATAGCTTGGGAATTGTTAGAACTTTTTATTAGATTTATGATGATTACAAGCATTCATGTTATAATTTGGCTTAGAAAGTGATTGTTGAAAACTATGCTCGAGATCACATGCTTTGACCAATTTATTTCCTCGATGTTCGTCGTTCTTAGCACGAGTTCTTTTATCGGGCATTCGTTAACCTAATTCGAGTACCGATTTTTCTTATTCATGCTTATAAATCTACCTGATGGTACCATTGAATATTGTTTTCTCCTCCCTTGCCAGTCCAGTCGATTGCATCCATTGGACTTCGGCTGCGCAGTTATCTCTGCTCGAAGATGAAATGCGCCGGGTCGAAAGAGTGAATGTATGTAATGAAGAGCAATATTTATATCTTTGTTTTTCCTAGAATTGGACTGTTTTTGAATTGAAAGTTTGAATAAATCATCAATTCCTTCCTCTCATTTTCAACTTTTAAGTTTGATTCTCCGTCAAGTAATATGCAGTTTCTAGAGGAAGGAGTAATACTCGTTTCTTCTTCATAGAAATCAAGATTTCTAATTGTAATGTTTTATGGCCAGGTTGCGTTTATGCTCTCTGGAATGGGATCATCAGCTGTAGATGTTTTTAGACTGGTATGAACATTTTAAATCCCTGTTCTTTACTTTAAACCTCCCTCGTTACAACCAAACAGCCCAAACTCGCCCAAGCTCACAGCTAGTTGTGCTTCCTTTAAAGGTTTTAAAATGTGTCTATTAGGGGAGTTTCCACACCTATAAAACAATATCGGCTAGCGGTGAACTTGAGCTGTTACAAATAGTATTAGAGCTAGTCACCAAACGGTGTAGAGCACTGGTCGAAGTAGGGCTATACCCTCTATGTGATGTCCCACGTTAGTTGGGGAGGAGAACAAAACACCCTCTATAAGGGTGTGGAAATCTTTACCTAGCAGACGCGTTTTAAGGATAAGCTTAAAAAGGATAATATCTGCTAGCGGTGGACCTCGGCCGTAACAAATGGTATTAGAGCCAAACACCGGACGATGTGCCAGCCTTCTCGCTGTTACCCGAAGGGAGTAGACACGAGGCGGTGTGCCAATAAGGACGCTGGGCCTTAAAGGGGGTGGATTTGGCGTGGGTCCCATATCGATTAGAGAAAGGAATGAGTGTCAGCGAGGACGTTGGGCCCCGAAGGGGGATAGATTGTGATGTCCCATGTTGGTTGGGGAGGAGAACAAAACACCCTTTATAAGGGTGTGGAAACCTTCCACTAGCAGACATGCGTTTTAAAACCTTGAGGTAAAGCCCCGAAGGGTAAGTCTAAAGAGGACAATATTTGCTAGCGGTGGACTTGAGCTATTACAATGGTAGATATAGATGAAACTTGAGCGGTTACTATACAAGACTTGAACTTCCTTGCCTCCACGGCAATTGACACGTACGCTTTCTTTTGAGGTCGGAAGTTCAAATTTCTTCCTTTATTGCTATTAATAGTGGCTACTAATGTTGCAGGCAAGTTCCCGATGGGAAAAGCGGCAATCAAAAGTCTTGGTGGGTTTTAAGCCGACGACGAGCACATGATTCTTTGGCTCTTAATTTCTGTTTGTAATATCTGGAGCTTTATAGACCTTGTTCTTTTGCAGGAACAAGCAAAAGTGAGGATGACAAAGAAGAAGAGTTCCGATAGCGATGATTCATATTGGAGCAATCTTTGGGGGAACCCTAAAGATCAAAGAAATTCAGGTAACGTTTGATAAGTAATCTTCATTATATATTAACATGTCAAATCAACGTGTTAAATAACTTATAACATGTCGATATCGATATTTCAATAAACTGAAATGCTCGACATTGGATGAACGTTTGGTTTATTGAAATATCAATATCGATATGTTAATCGACATACAATTCCCCTGTTTAAATCAATAACTAGCTTTAAATTACTGCAGAGGAGGAAAAGAACGAACGGGCAAAGCGAGCTGCAGCTGCTGCTCGACGATGGAGAGAGTACTCTCGACGGGGCGTTGACATGCCTCCGACCTTCAAACTTCCCGAGTCGATCTCCAGCAACGACAATTGACTTGGTACATATAAATTTATAGCCTTATTATAGTCGTACATAATTAATCAAATCATTTCCTTAAACAAAAAAATCCCATTTCCTCAATCCTTCCTTGTAGCTATGAAACTGAAAACAAAAATCAACCGTGATCGATCGAGCAGCTTCGTAGCTCGTAAGGCTTGACCTTAAGAGTCACGAGTTTAAATCTTGTCTCATGTAATTATTATAAGAACGTTCGTCGATAAACCGATTAATGGAACGGGTTGGGATATATTTATTTTCTTCTTTGCGTTGACAATATGTATATTTCATATGTTGATGTCCTGCTTGTTCTGCGGCCTGGGATAATATTTTATTTGAAAGTCAACTGAATTATTGTTGAATGGAAATGGGTTATGATTAGAAAGAGAAAAAAAGAGAAGGCATGATAGGAAAAGTAAAATAATGGAAATGGGAATTATTATTATTATTTTATTTTTTACTTTTAGTGGAAGTGTTTGGTCATGTTTTTTTTTTTTATTTAAGTAGACCCTTTAAATTCCACTATTATAAACAAATTGCCGCTCGTATTGTATTTCCACTTCGCTTCAAAAATGGGAGAAAAATTGCCTCTTTTTATTTTTTATTTTTTTAATAAAAAATATACTAATTTTATAGTGGCCAATTGAAGAGTTTTATTTATTTTTTAAACCGTAATGCTAATTAATGTAAAGACCACAGTTGGATTGAGAGACCTTGATTTCGAGTAGAGCCAAGGTCGAGCCAAATGACTTGATCTAGTGTAGAAGCAAGTCAGACGTGCAAATGTCATGATCACAATGCTGCATGATTGAAAAAGTACGACTGGGACAATTTTCCTCACGCTAGCATGCTGACACACTCTTATAAAGAATGTTCAGTTTCTCTCTTCAACCGACGAGGGATTTCACAATCCACCGTACACTTTTAGATTATAATGGTCTAATATCTCGTCTACATTACTAGATTTTTTTTTTTTTTTTGGATTTTAGTTTTAGTACAATTTTCGAGTATATAAAAGGCTATATGACTTTCCAAATTTAAAATAAATAAATAAAAAACACACACACAAAATTACACTCGAAAATAAAGAAGAAGAAAAAAAAAAAAAAAAAGTTGGTGTTATCTGACAGTGGAAGCAACTGTATGAGCCCAGAACTTGAGATGATCTTTCATGTCCATTTCCGTCGCACCCAAATCCGGAACTCTCCATTTCATCAGACTCCTCTTCTCTTCTTCTTCCTCAACCGCCTTCCAAGCTTCAGATAAATACGGCCTTGAAACCCCACTTTCAATCCCTTCTTCTTCTTCATGTTCCTCTGTTCTTTCCCCCAATCTCTGCAACCCTGGAATTATCGAAGCTAAACTCGAATTCTTCTTATCTTCCTCACTGAACACAAATCCCAAATCCATAAAACCTTTTAATTCTTCAAATTCAAGGTCCGATAAACTCTTGCTCAACCCTCTCCCCCTTTTTCTTCTTCTCTCCTTTTCACTCCCTTCCGGTTTCTTCTTCGCCGGTTTCCCCCCTCCGCACCCGGAAAATTCCGTCACCTTACCGGAGAGAATGGGCTGAAGCTTTTGATTGGTGGAGTAATAAGCGGTCTCCGGAGGTGCGAAGTTCGAGCTCAGTGGATACTCGCTTTGGGATCTCACCTTTACCACTTGCATTACGGGACTCTGTAAGCGGTTTTCCGGCGACTCGAAGCGAGTCGGTAAAAGCGGGTTCCCTGTGAAAACCGCGCTCTGAAACCAGAATAGATCGAAAAGAGAGAGGATTTCTTCAGCCGCCATTGCTAGTGGGAAGATTCAGAGAGGTTTTTTGAGGAGGAAATTGAGGGTTTAAACAGTTATATAGATAAGGAAGAAACTGGAAAAGTGGCCTCTTTTTAATAAAAAAATAAATAAAATAGATAAATGATTGTTTGTTGCGTTACATTAATGCCCTTGAATTTGGTCATATATTACGGGTGTAATAATGAAGCACGTTTCTTCAATTATTAACGTTTTGCATTCAAAGCTACAATCATTGGAGGGTATCAAAAGTATAATATATGGTTAAGGGCCATCCCCCATGAGGGAGTTATTTGTAATTATACACAAAATTTTCCGATTTATGTGGAAATTATCACCTGGAGCCGATTCTATTTATTGGAATCTATTGGTCAATGGCACGTGTTGCCAATTGTTTGCCCCGTGAGAAATTGAGAGCGAATATTGGCAATGGGCAATCACAATGCATATGGCAATTTCTTTTCAGTTTTATAATTTTTTTTTTCAACTTATAGTTATAGTTATATTCTCCATTAATAAAATAATAAATTGTGCAATAATTACGAATTATGGATTTAATATTGGCTAATTTTATATCTTCTGAAAGATTAAATGACGAGGAAATTATGTGATTGGACGAAAGAAAATGACATCTAATTAATTATTCTAATTATCTACTTTTTAATTATATATTATTTATTATAAGTTTTTGTTAAAAGTTTTGGCAACCAATGGGAAGGCATTAACTTTTTGTAGTGAATTTTTAAGGGCAATGCCGACTGGTCCCCCGCACTAATATTAAAAGTGAGCACGTGATCCACACGTTTTTGTTTAATCCAAAAACAAAAAAAAAAAACAAATTATAAAAAGCGCTTTTAATCTTGTACTATCATTAACCTAAAAAGTATTTAAAAAAAGAATATACCTTGTCTTTAACATTATTTTATTATTATTATTAGAGAAATCCTCTAATATCTTTAAATTCTAAAAAATAAAAAAATATATTATTACCATTAATACTATTAACATAAAAAATTAAAAATTAAAATGTCATTATACATAGACAATATGGGTTATTTTATTTTATTTTATTTTTTAAATTTAATAAAGCTTTGTTGATATATATATATATACAAAGTTTATGATTTTTTTTTTTTAATTTTAAAAGTATTAATCTAAAAATAAATAAACAAACTTTAAAATTAATTTCCTGAAAAAGATGGGTAAACAAACTCCCAACAGACTTGTTTTTAAAAAATAATAAAAAAGAAAAAGAAATAAAAATTAAACATAGAAATGAGTATGAAATGAATCTGAACCGAATCTCATGAATTTGTCTCAAATGGAATGGCATATTTAGAATAGGATCGAATATTTTTTATTTGAATAATAAATAATATAGTAAAAATACGACCTTAAATTAGTCGAATATTTTGTTTTATTATAAGTTTGAGACAATTATTAAATACTTATTTCACGACAAATAATAAATGGGAAATTAGGTCCACGTGAAGGACGAGGGGATGTGATGATGAGATAGGAAGGAGAAAGTGATGTTTCCAAGAGCAGTTTCCTTGAGCCCATTAAAGCCCATTGCACGCCACAACCACATTATGACAAAAAGCCCATTTCACTTTAGTCATGCTTTTCTCTCTCTTTTCCATTTTATTATTTTTCTTAATTTTGACTAGTGCATTGCTTAGTCATGTGACCATTTATGTAAAAAAAAAAAAAAAAAAAAAAAAATTTA